GTTTGTTTATCTAGCTCCATTTAACTCTTGTTTTTCGCCATTTCTGTGTGCATCCTGATTCCATCTCATTCATTTAATTATTCATCTTATCACATGACTCTAATAGCCCCATTTCAACTCTTCTTCTTATGCATTAATTAATCCTAACAAGTAGAATTATGACAACTCATCACTGTTGTTACAAACTTTCTTTATGAATAAATAATTCTTTATGTAAATGGGATTATACATCTAAAGAAAATAAATCCACCGCAGAGAGACTATTAACTGAACTACTCGTTTTGTTCTTGAATTGAATTTTTGATTTTCCCGTCGATTGATTGGACCGAAGTGCCCGGTCTCAAGTTGACATATCGGCTTCCTGTGCAGATGCTTCGACGATGTCTGGGCATTTAATTAGTATACGATTGGTGGATGGTGGCTAGCAGTGGAATCCAGAATGCGCATTTCGTCCTATTTGGGACTCGTCATATGGATGTACCTGCATTTCTCAATGAGTGATGATGTTCCCATTCAGGCTCGAACCCAGTGCCCATAGTTTCAAACGTCAAAGCGTTATCCACTAGACCACTTGGGCCGCGAGAGCCACATCTTGCGCAACGGGTCATATTAATTATTGAATTGAATTTTTGATTTTCCCGTCGTATTGTTCTTGTCATTAATGCCTGAATGAGTAGTGTTCATGAGCTAAATATCTTCACCAATGGTAAACGTTATATCTATTGAATTCGCAACTACTAGTAGAAAAACTTAAGAGTTGTATTTTTGTTTTGTTATTTTTTAGTTCAACAGATGTTTTGTCTGAACAATCAACCCCTTTTTAGTCGATTCTATTTTCAAAGCCATTACGTTTCTACAAAAATAAATAACAAATATAAACGTTTGGCTACAGTTTATTTCATTCATATGTTATGCTAATTTTAAAAAAGAACAATACTGGAGAAGATTTATAGCTCAGGTGGATGATATTGAATTAGTTGTGTTCTTTGAGCTGGTTGATTTAATTTCGAAGCCTTCGTCAGCAACCTTCTAGACGACATCTTCAGCGAAGGTTTTAGTATAAAATGGAATTATTTAAATTCTCCATGAATGATGTAATTATATCTCCCAACAGACAATCACTGTCGTGGTTGGTTGTTAATTTACGTCTCTACTGATCATTTTTATTGACTTAGAATTTGAACTTTCTTGTCATGTGATTTACTTTTTATTGGCGGGTAAATTAAGTCTGCTAATCCTCTACAGTTTGGTTTGTAAGGATTAGTTATGTTTTTTACGAGTTGATCACGGATTGATATATGATGCTGGCTAGTGACTTGCTACAGAATGGAGTTTCCTGGAGTTCTAGTGAGAAGTTGTGACCAGTGAGGTCCAATTAGATGTCACGTGTGTGGATGGATGTCCCACCAACGACAATGGTCGGGGTCGCGCTAAATGCATCATGAACTGGCAGAAGTTAGAATTAATGAACTTGTTATTGAGGAATTGGTTCCCAGTGGCTGAATGGTATACGAGCTTGCCTTGTAACCGGAAGGTCTGGGGTTCGAACCATGTTGGTGAGTGCGTACTTCCAATGATCCCCAAACTAGGCTGATCAAACAACTGTTCAGTACTTCCTGGTTTTCAATGGTTCTCTAACTGATATCAATCCGTGATCAACTCGCAAATAATTGCTAATCCACTTGAGTACCAGGTTTCTGAGAATTTCGTTGTTTCATCTACTTAAAATTTCCAGATTAACCCAATCAAAATGGTGTCCATAATTGCCTACATGCATTGACACGAAAAAATATATGTATCATATCTTCTGACAACTGATTTGTGTTCCTGGATTCTGATTCGTAGGGGATGCCCACTTTAACCGATATAATGTCCATCGCAGTTCATGCAGTTTTTTTGTAAATAATATTAATTTTATCTTCTTTTTTCTGTTGGATCTTTTGGTTTGTACAATATCGAATGAAGGGATTGTGCTGACTGGCTGGCTTGTGTGTTATATCTATTTCAAACGGTGTTAATATACTAGCTGTTATTTCAGAGATACATTATCTTATATATGGTAAAATGAATTTCGTGGTAGTCTTTGATGATGGTTTCTTATTGGTCTTATGACTGAAGTTTAAACGCTTTTTGATGAAATTGTGGACAATTTTTTGTGAAATTTCATACCCGTAAACTTGATTAATTTCACCAAGTTATCATGTATGTCTAAGTGTGAAAATTATGTAGTGAAAAGGTTTGTAAAGAGATGACTTTATAGTAAGGGCTTGCAATATATGGTGGTTATTTTGTTTCCTGATGAATGCCGCTGTTATGATTCTTAATCGACTCAGGCTTCTGTAAATGCTCTAAACACAAGAGATGACATCACTAAAGTAATGCTCAACGAGTCAGTTATTTACACTAGAATATTTTCAAACCAACTTTAGCGTCAAATCTCTCCTCAGTGCTTACTGTTAATAAAAAAAAACGAAAAAAAAATCCACTTGCGCATGGGTGCAAAAATGCCGTTGTCAAAAATCTTTATTACACTAAACGTTATTAAAAATGTGTGGATTTTAATTGTGTACCTCTTGCAGAAACAGTTAACTACACATGTGAACAACTGGATAACCAGTCGATAAACATTGGCTTCCGTACTGAAATCCTAAAAGAATTGTTATTAAGGTGTACTATGAATGTAAACTTCTAATTTGACGACACGCTTTACGGGCAAATAGATGGGATGGCGATGAGCTCCCCATTGGGTCCCATTTTGGCTGATTTCTTCCTAAGTAAGCTGGAAAATGGACCTCTGAACAACCTTATCAGTAAGCTCCCATTTTATTGTTGATATATGGATGATACCTTCATTCTTTGTGATAATGATTCGGATAAGAGCACAATAATTATTGAATTCAATGAAGTACTCGGCTATGACATTCACATGTGAAGAGGAATCCCAAGACATAATTACCTTCCTGGATGTCCTTCTTACAAGAAAACCAGATGGTAGCATAAAAAGAAATTTGCATAGAAAAAGTACTTGGACAGGGTAATATACACATTTTCACAGCTTCGTTACTCTCAAGTACAAAAGAACTTTAGTGAAGACTCTCAGCCACAGAGTTAGAGCTATATGCTCAGAAGAAGTAATTGAAGATGAATTAAGCATTGTATATGATACTCTGATGGAAAATAGTTATCCCGATAAATTTATCAAAAAATACATGACACAGAGAGCGAAGAAGGACTACTCACTGTCTGCAAAAAAGAAGCCTCTTTATATACGACTACAATTCATGGGAGATATACCGAGCGAGATAAGTGCGAAGAAATTAAGAAAATCAGTTCAAAGAACTTTTACTGCTGGCGAACTACACGTATTATCCTCTACACGACCGATGGGGAATCCTCGAACGAAAAATGAAGTGCCTAGACTAGCCACTTCAAATTGTATCTACTGATTGAACTGGGCTTGTGGAGCGAGTTATATTGGCCGTCGCTCTAGGAACTTGATTTTTCGTGCTCTCTCGAGAACATCTCCCACTATGATTAAATAAAGGTGTAGTGTAAACCATTAACAGTTCGATATTGGACCATCTGGTGCAAAGCGGCCACAAAGCAACCCAGCGTGGAAGAATCCTTCCCTATAATCTACGACGTGCCTAATAAATTGCCAAAATCATCGAAGCACTGCATGCTCCAAACAGCACAGGCTATTTCTATTCGCTTCAAACAACCAGTGCTCTGTGTTCAAAAGAAGCAAGTCCAGCCAGCCCCTACTATTGCCCTGGCCTTCAGTAGAGACTATAAATTCACGAATTTGTAATATTATCTTTCCTAATTTTTCTGACATTCAGCTTATTTTATGTTGATGATATTGAGCTGTAATCTATTGATATTATTATTGATTCGATGTTATTTAAACAGCATCAATGTTGTTCATAACACTAATTCATTCATTCATTCACTATAATGTGTATATATAACTGTAGAGCCTGATGATGAAGTTATCGAAAAGTGTACTCCTTGTTCAGTTACCATTCTTTTGAAAATTATAGATTCATTCCTAGAAATCAAGCTGGATTTGGTCTTAAAGAGATCGTTATACACCTTCTGCAATAATACAATATGGTCTTCAATACTTAACAAGATACATAGATCAGAGTATGCATCTAGTTAGTAAGCTGAATAGCTTAAATTGTTTCTCGAGATAAAATCCTATGATGACAATCAATCTATATTAAACTAAAAAACATAAACAATAAACTTGTTAGTTCCATTTTTTGTGTAGAGCTTATACTCATCCCATATTCATGAAATTCTCCTAATCACTTATCACTATTTGAAAAGAACTAAATCGTAGTTACTACCGATTAGTAGCCATCATAATGGCACGAACGTCGCCTATCAAATTGGCTGATTCCTATGGCCTATGAAGCCTAGTGCTTATTTATTTCACTCATTTACGTAACCAACTGCAAGATAAGACCTCAAAATCTTGAAGTCTCGGGTTGGATTTGTTAACTTCATACCAAACCTACCCTATTTCCTAGACTTACTATCGGTTAGGTGAGGGCTAGAAATGCTAAGGCTGGAAATCGAAACCGGACCTTCCCACCTAAAAAAGAAAGGCTAATAGTCATTCTACTACTGGGCCACAACTAGTCGATAATAATTTCTTTTATTAAAGATATATGTTGTCTGTAAACAAGCGTTTACAGAAAATCCTTCACGTTCCCAACGGAACATAGAGCTACTTCAAGCTAGAGGCTTGAAGTTGCGGTCTCAGTGGTATTTATTTATTTTTATAGGATGGGGTTGCTAGCCAGCCTCATGCCCCACCCTTACCTCTTTACTAGTCTTATTACTAGAGTAGCTAGGTGAAGGAGTACGTCAGTGGCCGGAAACCCAACCCCGAACCATATGAAGCGTGGTTGGCGAGCATTCTACTGCTGTGCTACCGACTCACAAGCATTAATGACAAATAATAATGAAGAAAAGAAAAGTTAACTAAACACTTTTTAATTACTTATTATTCATTCACTTGTCAGAAATTCAGCCAAGAATAACTAAAAAAGGGAAAGAGACACGGAAAGAGGCAGAAAAAAGAATGCTGGATGCATAAATAAAACAAGAAGGCAGTTCATAGTTCAGTAACGATAAAAGAAGAAAAAGGGGAAGGAGAAGCAGAAGATCATTTGGTGTATTTTATTGTGAAAATAAACTAAAAATTGGTTTATATTTCTCATGGAAAATATGAAAATTTTATTCATAGTTAATATCAACCTTGTTAGAATAATAAGGGATTATTATTGACCTCAAGATTACCTCAGCTTTTGAAAGTATAAGATTCATTTTAAAAGAAATCTGATTGAAAACTATACGAAAATTTTGCATTTTACCATTGATAGGCAATATTTCTTTTTTTGTATTTGGGAAGATTTCCGGATAAAGATTTTTCTTTTAGTCGGTTTATCATCATAATGATTGTCGTAGATAAGAATAAATTTATCAAACAATATGAATAATAATAATCATAATAAAGAGTAAACATATACACAAGTGTGCATGATTAGAACTTTTACTGATACATACAATATAAACAGGTATGATAGACAAGAATGCAAGAGAAGACTGTTTGGCAAACTGAAATCGACAAAGGTGTAAAGTTTATAGCTCTAATTGTTTTAATCAAGTTGAAATCAAATATGGCGGCAGTCTTAAAATTGAAGTAAACAGTCGACGAATTTGAATGTTTAAAAAAAGGAAAAGAAGTGTAAAAGTGAGATAAAGAGAATTTGTGAATAAATTTTGGTACATTTATCAGTAAATAATACTTTTTATTTTTATAAAAGAAATAAGACATGGAGAAGAGGCATATAAACAAATAACCAGGTAAACGAATATATGAAGAAATAAATCGACATAAAACAATACAGTGAAATCAAAAAGACGGAGGGATCAGATAACTGAAAAAAAGGATTTTTCAATATTATGTTACATTTTTTTCTAAGAAGGTAGGAAATATCCTCTTTTTCTTTTGTTTCAATTGAATCCTATCGATTCTGATCAACAGATGGATTAGGGATTGTCATAAACTTACGATATGGTGCATAGGGTATTTGTGATGCAGGTGGTGGCATTCCAGGCTTTGTTTCAATCGGTGGCGGTAAATTTCTGTATGGATTAGGTCGTAGAGCATAACTTGCTTTCGGTTGATTTCTTGTATCCATCATACCAGCTGTTATTGCTTCATTAGTATTTTGAAGCGATATTTGCTGTAAATTATTCATTTGTGATTGAGATAAATTAGTCATAGGTAGTCTGTCTGTTGAATCTGTAAAACCAGGATTATAGTCAGGCGGTTTAAAAGGTGGTCTTTCATTGGTTAGAATCATAGGCTGTTTAGGAGAGGCATAACCTATTTGAGATGAAGAATTTGCAAAATTTCCACTGTCCATATTGCCTGTATTAAGATAAGAAAAAACGTGTTGATGAAATAAACGTTCGTAGTTATTGTGATTTGAGGAAAATTAACAGTTATTCAGAGAGCACTCTTCATGTATTTGAATCATGTCACTTGACGGGACAGTCAGAAAAGTTATCTACGTGATTTTAGACAACATCCGTGACTGCAGCATTTCATAACACAAGTTCCAGCTGAAGTTCTGTTGATTGTTAATAGGCGAAAAAGCACAGGCTTACATCTGCTTGTAAAATCTACTTCTCTAGTGAGTATTTTCTTCAAGACGGTGAATCTAAAGAATATCTGATAGAATTTGTAAGTTTTTAGGTCTTAAAATTGTCCATAATCAATTTAAAGTTATTTTTCTGGAAGTGTAGTTACGTTGAAGTGGTCAGCAGATAGTCCTAAACTAGAAAACAGTAAACAAGCGTATGATTTTAACTTGAGATCTGTTTATCAGTAAATTCATATAAGCTGAGGTCAGCTTTTATTGTAAAAATAAAAATAAATACCATTCAACTATTTTTTATAGTATCTGTTTAAACATCATCACCTAAGATGAAGTCATTTACATAGTTCAAACAAGTGTATAGATTTCAATTGGTGGATAGTGACTAGCCGTGGAATCCAGCCAGGATGCGCATTTTGTCCTATTTGGAACTCGCCATCTGGATGTACCTGCATTCCTCAGTGAGGGATGATGTTCCCACCGAGGCTCAAACCCAGTGCCCATAGTTTCAAACGCCAAAGCGTTATCCACTAGACCATCAGTTTAATTCTAATTGCATGCTTAGATGTCGTCGACGCATCCGCACAAGAAGCCGACATGTCAACCTGAGAACGAGCACTTTGGTCCAATCGATAGACGGGAAAATCTAAAATTCAATCAAGTGTATAGATTCTTCAAATTAGAAGGCTTGCTATTCATACTTTGTTTGACTGTATTTCATTATTTGACAGTTATTACTTTTTTACACATAAAATCAGCTTAGATTAATCGTCATGGAGCAACAACTATGTCGACAAATTTAAATCTAGTGTAAGAATAGCCTTTAATAAGTGAAGTCATATATTTCCCAGAATTTGGTTTTAGGAATTTGTTTTAGGTTAAACTAAGGATTGATATCAGTTGGAGAACCATTGAAAACCAAGGAATACTGGAGAGCTGTTTCATCCTAGTCTTGAAACTCATCGGCAGCACGCATCCATCACCACGGTTCGAACCCAGGACGTTCCAGGTAGTAGGCAAGTTCGTATATCATTCAGACACTGTGACACGATTCCTCTAACTTCTACTATTTCGTGATTTAGCACAATCACTAACCAGTGTCATCGGCGGGAACTCCATCAACACTGTCGACTAGGTGGAGCCCACTCGTCACAACTTCCCATTAGAACTCCAGACAAATTAGTCTTGTAGCCAGTCACTAGTGAACATCAGAATTATTTTCAAGAATTGGTTCGTACATATTCTATTTGTTTCAGGTTAAACCACCGATTGATATCAGTTAGAGAAACCCAGTGTGTGAGTACTGCCGATGAGTCCCAAGACTAGGATGAAACAGCTTTCCAGTACTCCCTGCCGGTTTTCAATGGTTCTCTAACTGATATCAATCAGTGGTCTAATCAGAAAGCATGTGTATATGTATATAAGTAGATTGATGAATGAGATTTTGTGTTGTGAAGTAGTGATTTATGAACTTGAGTGTTAGTCGTAGTGTGACTCTTGTAGTTTAAATACCTCTGCATAAAATGTAGTACATGGTTTGAGTTCTAGTGACTTCCAAATAATCTCGATGTTGTCTATTCACGGAAATAAGAAATGCATATTATATCAGTCTTCCTGTGGAAGTGCTGTTAGCTTACATCTAACCAGAAAAGTATTTGCCACAGAGAAAAGACACAAAGAACCAGAATACCAAAGACAATTAATGGACAGATAGAAAAATGAAGACCATTTATTAGGAATAAAAATGATTGTAATATTATTTACATGAAGTAGGCTGAATAAACCACTTAAGATAGTTTCGATGATTCAGACTTGTAGCCTCGGTAGATGAGTTTGATATCTTTGTGTTCTTTGAGTTGAACTCATTTCACATCGAAGTTAGTGCTGAAGATACTGTACGAAAATGGCAATCGAAGTTTCTCGGTTATACTATCCATCTCAGAGAAAGTGACAACACCAAATACAGTTATCTAATTTAATTTGTGGATGGTGACTAGAAGTGGAATCCAGGATGCCCATTTCGTCCTATTTGGGACTCGTCATATGGATGTACCTGCATTTCTCAATGAGTGATGCTGTTCCCACCAAGGCTCGAATCCAGTGCCCATAGTTTCAAGCGCCAAAACACTATCCACTAGACCACTTTTGCCACAAGAGCCACTGGGAAATGCAAGTATAACCAGATGATGAGTCCCAAATATGACGAGATCAGCGTCCTGGATTCCACTGCTAATCACTATCTACAAATTAAATTCTAACTGCATGCTCAGACATGGTCGAAGCATCTGCACAAGAAGCCGACATGTCAACCTGAGAACGAGCACTTCGGTCCAATCGGTAGACGGGAAAATCTAAAATTCATTTACAGTCATCAGTTTATTTTCTGTCACAATAATTTATGCACTTATTTATTTATTTAAATTATTATCTACACTCTGTGTCAAAGAGATGACTTGAGCAGAAATCACACTGATATAATTTCTCTTGTACAAATATCAGCACAATTAAAAGGAAAGCATCAAGATCGATTAATACACTTACCTGCTTTTATGATTTTTGCTTGACGGCCATTACTTGTCGATTTCTTTGGACTACTCATTGTTGTTAACATTTTCTCAGTTTCTGGATTAACAACACTATGACCACTATTTATTATAGACGATGGATGTGAATTCAATCCATTCGTGCAAGATTTACCACGTTTTCGATACCATACAAATCCCAGTATGCCTAATAAGACTATAATAAGTAAAATGCATATTGGTAATAAAGTCCCGAGTAAAATCATTCTGTGTCTGTTTGCCTCTTGGTTTGCAGATAAAGAAGACAATGACGATGATGAGGAGGATGAGGATGGTATGTAGTGAAGAGACTCATCATATTCTCCTGTTTTTCCATAGTATGGAACAAAAGCATCTCGAGTACTTTCTAATCCAGGCACAGGTATGAAAATGGGTAGAGATTCTGTGTATATAAATAAAAACGAAACAGTGTGTGAGCGTAAAAATACATCAAAACCTGAGTTCTTCATCATAAATGTCAAATAAATAAAATATTCAAGTGCTGGTTTATAGGGATTTGATTGGTTTCAGGATTTCATCATGAGCTGACATCAGTTAGAGAATCATTGGAATACCTAGGAGTACTTGGAAGCTGTCTCCTCAACCCTAGTTTGGGACTCTTCAGCAGCACGCACCCACCGATAGGGTTCGAACCCAGGACCTTCTGGTTACAATGCGAGCTCGTGTACTGTTAAGCCACTGGAACCCGATCCAATGGCCAACGAATTCTAACTTCTGCCAATTCACGACATAGTGCGACCACTAGCCGACGTCTTCGGTGGCGAGTATTTGTCCTCACACCCGACCTGCTGCAACCTACTGGTCACGACTTTGAGTGTGAGGACAAATACTCGCCACCGAAGACGTCGGCTAGGGGTTGCGCTATGCCGTGAATTGGGAGAAGTTAGAATCCATGAACTGGCCACTGGATCGGGTTCCAGTGGCTTAATAGTACACGAGCTCGCATTGTAACCAGAAGGTCCTGGGTTCGAATCCCAGTGGGTGCGTGCTGCTGAAGAGTCCCAAACTAGGACTGAAGAGACAGCTTCCCAGTACTCCCAGGTATTCCAATGGTTCTCTAGCTGATGTCAGCTCATGATGAAATCCTGCGTCGGTGGCACAGTGGTTAGGACTCTCGCCGACCATACACATGGTCCGAGGTTTGATCCACTACCGACGCACACCTGATATCTATGGTCGGCCTGCGAAATTTGGGCTACCGATATCCACGCTGAAAATTCCATACTTGTACCAAAAATACGGTGTGGAATCAAGCTGTAATAAAAAAAAATAAGACAAAATAAAAATAAATATTCTTAGACTATACACCAAAATAAAACTTCGTAATGCGCGCTTTTCGACTATCACGCTACATTTTGGTCATAAATAAAATCTCTTATTACTCTAAAATTTTATGCAAAGTGTTTGCGGAAATTATCACAATTATTAACCTTTCGAACACTGAATCCAAAAAATACAATCTTATTGACAGATAATACACATAACTCACTGTTTGGATTTGTGGAATTTTTAAACATAAACACATCTATAATTGTATATATTGTTGGATTTATATGTTCAAGTTGCTCCAAGTCAGTGAGTTTATGGTTAAGATATCATTTTAGTTAACAATACTGAACTATATTGCATGTTGTCTTATTGTATAGTTGTCGTCGCTTTTTGCCCTTTTTTCTGTGAACTGTTTCCTTTGTTGATGTTGTTCTCATTGTTTGTCCGTTATTTTCTGATTTTGAGGGGAGCAACCCAAAAAGTTGCTTCTCTCTAAACTTTTACTTAATGTAATCATTCTTTTCTCAGGCGTGAGGCTAGCAACCCCACCCTGTAAACAAAAATTGCTAAAGAAACTTCAGTATGTTGAACCTCCTTGCACCAAAAGAAAAAGTCTGTGTAGGAACATGGAACGTCCGAACTATGTACGAGACTGGAAAGCTGCCCAGATCGCCAACGAGATGAAAAGATACGGAATACAAGTGCTGGGAATATGTGAGAGCAGATGGAATGGGAGTGGACTCACCAAATTGTCAACAGGTGAGTCAGTGATCTACTCCGGTCACCCAGAAGATAACCACACGCACACCGAGGGCGTGGCTATCATGATGTCACCAACGGCAACGAAAGCCCTGATACAATGGGAGGCGATTTCGTCCAGGATAATGACCGCCAGGTTCAACTCCAAAGGAAGGAAAGTGTCAATCATACAATGTTATGCACCCACAAACAACGCAGACCTCGAGAAGAAAGAAGAATTCTACAGGCAACTACAGGCAACAATGGACAATACTCCAGCTGGCGACATGAAAATACTAATGGGAGACATGAACGCCAAACTGGGACCAGACAATACGGGAAGGGAACTCATCATGGGTAGAGAAGCTCTAGGAGAAATGAATGAAAACGGAGAACTCTTCGCCGACTTCTGCGCCTTCAACGAACTGGTGATTGGTGGCAGTGTATACAAGCACAAAGATATCCACAAGGCTACATGGGTGTCACCAGACGGGCAAACCAAAAACCAAATCGACTTCATCTCAATCTCAAGGAAGTGGAGGCGCAGCCTACTGGACACAAAAGCAAGAAGAGGAGCAGACGTTGGCTCAGACCACTATCTCGTACAAGGGACAATCCAAATCAAATTAAAAGCTTTCAGGGAATCAGGAGCTGCAGATAGACCACAAGCCAAGTTCAACACTCAAAAGCTGAAGGACCAGGCTACAAAGGACATCTTCATTGCAAGCATAAAGGACAAAGCCGAGACACAAATCAACACTAGCGAAGAGGTCGGCGTTGAAAAGCACTGGAACAACTTGAAAACGGTGTGGAGCCAAACCTGCATAGAAATTCTAGGCAGAAAAAAGAGACAGGACAAACAGTGGCTCACTACGGACACTTGGAAACTAATAGAAGAGAGAAGGACAGTGAAGCAAAAGATTATCCAGTGCACGACGAGCAACAAAAACAGGAGCTGAATGCAAGCTACAATACACTGAACAAAAGAGTGAAGAAAAGTGCCAGGGAAGACAAAAGAAAATATTATGAAACCATGGCAAACGAAGCAGAACAAGCTGCAGGCAAAGGAGACCTCGCCACACTCTACCAAACAACTAGGAACCTTTCGGGCAAACGTTCGACACAGATTAAGCCAATAAAGGACGACAATGGAAAGTCAATCACCAAAGAGGTGGAACAGAGAAAGCACTGGGTTGAACACTTCAAAAGACTTCTAAATCGTCCGCCACCTACAACACGTCCAGCAATACCAACAACGGAAGCAGAACTACCAGTGAACACTGACCCCCCGACGAAATCAGAAGTCCTGAATGCAATCAAGATGCTTAAAACTGGGAAAACACCGGGACCAGATGGAATCCCAGCAGAGGCTTTGAAAATAGACCCAGAGACAACAGCGGACTTGATGACACCACTACTGGAGAAGGTGTGGAAAGAGGGCAAAGTACCCGAGGATTGGAAGAACAGTTACTTATTCAAACTTCCAAAGAAAGGAGACTTAAGTCAATGTAAAAACTGGCGTGGAATTATGCTTCTGTCCATTCCAAGCAAGATACTAAGTCGCATCATCCTGGAGAGAATCAAACAAGCCCTAGATGAAAAACTTCGTCCGGAACAGGCTGGATTCAGGAGAAACAAATCATGTATTGATCAAATCGCCACTCTACGGATCATCATTGAACAAAGCTTGGAATGGCAGTCACCTCTCTATCTCAACTTCATCGACTTTGAAAAGGCCTTCGACAGCGTCGATCGAGAGGTCATTTGGAAACTACTTCGCTACTACGGGGTCCCATCGACAATTATACACCTCATCCAACAGTTATACGACAATGCTGCATGCCAAGTAATCCACAACGGGAAACTTACGGAAGCCTTCGAAGTGAGGACGGGAGTGAGGCAAGGCTGTCTACTATTGTAACAACAGAAGACAAGGGCCAGGCAACAGATCGTTTTATTATGAAAATCAACACGTATTTATACATCTTTCAACTACATTATTATAGACAAGCGCAGTCATCTGATTGGTTGTTTAGGTAGACAAACGCAGGCTTCTGATTGGTTGTTTCGGGATTCCTTGACAAATAGAGTTCTCTCTGCGAATCATATTCTGCCACGTTAACTTTGCTGTGATTGGTTGTTGACTCAGGCTTGTTCATATTTTCTCACGGCCCATATTAGTGACCTAGACCTTAACGTAGATTAGTGCCAACCAATCGGCTAGCAGCCTGCTCTCACCACACTATCACCAATGATCTTCCTGATTGCAATTGATTGGATAATGCGACAGACAACGGCAACCAACGAGGGAACAGGCATAAAATGGACTGACATAAAAGACTTGGAGGATCTGGATTTCGCCGATGATATATGTCTGATTTCCCATAAACTGGAAGATATGCAAGTGAAAAGTAACAAGTTGGCAGAAGAAGCATCAAAGATAGGACTTCACGTGAACATAGATAAAACAGAGATAATGAAGATTCCTAGTCAACATCAACAACAACAACAGAAAACAATCAGCATAAGTGGGAAGAACCTGAAAGAAACAACCTCCTTCACCTACCTACCTGGGAACCATCGTTTCAACTACAGGCGGACAGAACTGACGAGGATATCAAAGCAAGGATCGGGAAAGCAAGACAAGCTTTCATCACTCTCAAATCTGTGTGAAGGTCAACAGCACTCAGCATCAAAAATAAGATCCGGATTTTCAACTCCAATGTGAAGTCAGTGCTACTATACGGATCAGAGACTTGGCGAGTCATAAAGAGCATCTCAAACAAACTCCAAACCTTCATTAACAACTGTCTCCGCTCAATACTCAAGATCAGATGGCTGGCCAGAAAAGATCAGCAACAGGGATCTCTGGGAGCGAACCAATCAGGAACCGATTGTGAAACAAATAGGCAGAAAGAAATGGAGATGGATTGGCCATACGCTGAGGAAACCATCAAGTGACATCACTAGACAAGCCATTGCTCGAGTGGAACCCGAAAGGGAGGCGGCGAGTTGGTCGTCCAAGGGTGACTTGGAGGAGGTCATGCGAGGAGGAGATGAAAGCATGTGGACAGACCTGGAGCAGGTTGAAAAAGTTGTCAGAAAACCGAAGTCAATGGAGGTGCGCAGCTGAAGCCCTATGTTCCTCTAGGAACTAAAGGATACAATAATAATAAATAATAATGCCGGTTCATGCTAGGAGACATTCACCAGTATCACTTCTACCAAAAACAATGATCCACATAGTACTATCAAGTTTCGCCAATCAACTTCAACTAGAGGACAATTAAAAACCAAAGAATATCAGAGAATGTGAATTATTTTAATTTAAGAATCTTCCAAAATCTGACTCTTGGGTTTATAAATGAAATTGGT